GACAACAGGGTAGCTTGGTGAAGTGTTCAAAAGTTGGCTTTAGTTCCCCCGGGAGATCGACTAGCCGATGCTCCCAGTCCAAGTGTGGGTGGCACTACCTACTTGGATACCTAGCGTGGCTCAACGGAACCTCGCTCTAAGCCCATGGCTAGAACACTTAAAGGCGAAAGGCAGGGAGAGTACCCATAAGGCTTGCGTAAGGCCACGGTGTTCCGAAATGTTATCCTAAAGTCCCAAACGATGAAAGGGAAAAGGAGCAATCTTCTAGTGCAGTGACCAAGGATACAGTCATATGGTGAAGAAGTCCCAAAGGATAGTGGGACTTAGAGGTCAGGCTTGCGGGCCTTGATCTAGTGGCAGTGTTGGTAAACACGGCCATGGACAAAAAGGGACTTGGTGGGGACTGAAAAAGAGTTGTCGGGGAAGGTTATTCCCCATGTTTATGGGCATCCTAAGGATGCTAAGGAGTAGATCTGGGATGATCACTCATGGATGGATGGCCCAGTCTTTGAGAGACGGGACTATGATGCAAGTGGCATTAGACCACCGGTGTGACCAATGTGAATGGGCATGGCCTTAGCGTAATGGGCCGATATGTCAGTGGTACCTTGGGTTGTCAGTCATGGGATCAAACACATGGAGCACTTAGACCAAGTGCAAAGATTGAGTGGCATGGATGCCATTCTCGAGGCTAACAAGCCCCAAGTTCTAACTAGAACTTATAGAGGTTATAAATGAGACTCCTCCAAATGGTAGGAGGTGTGGTTAAATGACTAAAGTAAAATGGAAAAATTAGTCATTTACAAGCACCCCTTACAACCAGCAAGTCCCGAGAGCCTTCAGCACCAGTACCTTCATCTGCCACCCCTGTGAGAAACACACAAGGCTGCTGCACTGCAATCTTGTACAAACACATCACAAACAATCACAATATCTGGTGCAGCTTTCCGGACAGTCTCAAGAAGCTCTTGTGATGCACTGAACAGCTGGTCTAGCCCTTCCCACAGAAGACTGGGCTGCCTATGACCAAGATGGGGAAGACAACAAATAGGGGATTTGGTGAGAGCATATTTCTCCTTGAAATCGTCTCAAGTACATTTCTCCATCACCCTGCAGAATGTAGACAAAATATCTTCCACCATACCTGTAGTTATAGGTGTGGAATGAAGACTGAAAACTGCAGCAGAAGCAGGATCAACCAAGAAGCAAATCAGGCCAACACAAAGAAGAAGAAAAATGACTTAAGCAGGAGAAGCTTTTCTTCCTGCAGCTGCTCCTCTTTCCTCTCCAGATACTTCTTCTGATCAGGATCTTGCTCGCTCTCCGGAGAACCTGAAGGAAACTTCAAGATTTTTCTTAATTTATTCTTAAGATCACTGAAATCTGCGTCGGTCAAAGGCCTCCCTGGCAATGTGTTACTGGCACACTTGCTATGTACGTGTCATTATCAGCTTAACTATTTGTTTGATATCCTACCTACATTGATCCATTTCCACACAAGGCGCTTCAAGGGGTAAGGCGAGATATGAATTCGAGGGGCAAGGCACTCTCCCACTTTTTTTGCAGGAAATTTATAGAATCTAACAATGTTTTCCTGGCTTTCCTAGAATGTCCTGAAGAAAACAAGGTTGGGGTGGAGTAAGGGCCGAGTCCTTGCGGGTAGCCTGTGTCCAAACTTTCAAGTTTGGGTTCAAATGGGAAAATTACCACTACCACTGGAACTTGAGTTGCGCGTACTATCTTGGGTCCCAGCTGAGGATGTAGCAAGGTTGCAACTTGTGTGCAAGGATTGGGGTCGCCTTCTCCATGACCCAACATTTAGAGCACTATGGGAACGACAGAATGGCACAAGTTCTTTCTTGTTACATGTAAAACGTCACGCGAGAGATAGCCTAGAAGTGCAATTTCGCTACTGCAAATATGATCCATCAGAAAACAGGGCTTGCTTGAAACAGGTACCTCCTTCATTACGGTCTTGGTTTGCACCAGATGGTTCAGAGCCACTCTTGGCTGGAGGGGGCCTCATTTTGTGCTGGTTTCCAAGGGTGTCGGGTTCAAGCGGACTTGTCGACAGCACCAACAGGGAGTCCCCTTTCCTAGTTGGGAACCCGCTGACACAAGAATGGGTAAAGATTCCTGGACTTGAAGTTCCTCTGTATTATAGCAAGCGAATGCTGACTACATATTTCGATGAGGGTCAGATGTTCTTCAGGTACAAAAGCGTTGTCATTACTAGTTTCCACCATGCTAATCGACTCATTTCGTTTCTTCGTTCAGGATTTGGCTTGAGCCATATTCGTTTGACTCTAAAGTCGGCATTTGGACAGTTCCTCGTGCTGTGGTCTTCGGAATGTGCTCGTACAACAGCGTATGCGTCAAAGGGGTGCATTATGCTCTTGCACGACTTCATCAATATGCCGCACTTGTGCTGCTGGAAGTTGATTTTGCGGACATTAGCCGCTCGAAATGGGCGTATGCATGGGACTTATCGGAACTTGAGGGGACCTACGAAGATGTGTACATGCTGGAAGTTGGACCTGGTGAGATTGGTATATTTACACAAAAGATGGAGTGGATGGAGTATACAACGGTTATGGTGTTAGATAGGCAGCAGAACGATGATGGAGATTTAGAGTGGACATGGAAAACAGTGTCGACCTCACCTGAAGAAGACTTTGAAACGGGACCAGGCATAATCCAGACTTCTGAATGCCAGACGCATGGGAAGGATACCTTCTGCGTTGCGGAGCAAGGGATTGTGAGATTCGATTCTCAAAACTTGACATGGGAATGGGTTGAGAAGGGGCAGCACTTGGAAAGAGTTATGGAGAAACTGCTCCTTTTGGAACCCAACTTGGCAGCTGTGCCTAGCTTGGACTTGAAGTCAGCCTGTGCCAGCCGGTTTCGAAAGGTCTGCTATGTGGGTCATCCTGTGGAGCACGAATTCTCAGGTGAGTGTTTTTCTATTAACATGTTCGTATTGATATTGGTGGACACTGACTTTCAGACTTGAAAGCTCTCTGGAAGCCAGGCTTGTCATGGCAAGAGATTGGAGAAGTAGCAATTGATTGGAAAGAAGGTGGTAAGTACAACATCTTGTTTGCTAGAGAAGCCTAGTTTGGTTTATATGGTGATCTACGTGATGCAGTAATACCACTTGAGGCAACTGTTTAGAGTAACAGTTTCCAAGTACCTTGGAACCTGCCTCAACAAAATTCGTATGATAAAAATTCCAAACCCTAAGCTTCTGACGGTATATGCTTAAAAAGTTCGGCAGAGGTAACTGAATATTCAACTGAAATAAATTCAAGAACGGAATATGCCCGATCTAGCCTTGTTGCATTGGCTGTTCTTCCACAACGTCCGGGGCGGACGCTTGTGATTCCGGGGGGTAGTACTGATAGTGTAGCTCACTCACATCGTCACCGGAGATCTTCTTCCAGCCTTGGGGACCAATGTGATAAACTGGAAGCAAAGCAAGCTCAGAGCGATGAAAAGCGAAAGAAAAAAAGCTTACCGCTCGCAACTCCTCCGCTGGCTCCATCTCTAAACGTCGCGTGATAGATCGCTCGTCTTCCCAGCTCCACGGCTTCCTCGACGCTCATCTCGTACTTATACCTGAGATTGGAACACAGTGAAACCCGAAGAACTCGAAGAAGGATTCTTACCCGCTATCGAGAATGCCGTAAGCGTAAGTAGACCCAGAGCCAACGGAGAAAAGAGTTCCTTTCGTTCTTCCACCTTCGCTATCAACGTAAAAGAGAGCGGGCCCCTGGATCAAATCACGAGACGTGAGAAGAAAACTTGGGAATGGCGAGATGGAAACAAGAAAGAGAACAGGGAAATACCGTTTCGTCCCAGCCAGCGATCATGGTTCCCATGGACAGACCCATGCCACGGTAGGAGTAGAGGGTGTTTGCCAAGAGCTTGGAAGCACCGGCAACAGAAATCCTCCTCTTGTTCGCAAGCTCGTGAAGCCGGCACTGTGATTCAAACGAACAGAGTGTCAACATCGTGGAGGAAAAAGGAGCGAAGACAAACTTACCCGCGTTCCAAGATTTCTCTGCCAGAACTGACAATCGGCCGCACCCCCAGCCATGGTTCCCAGGAGATATGGGTTGATTTCCAGAATTTTCTTCACCGACTGGGATGCTGCGAGAGATCACTCGATCACAAGTAGAGACAAACACGAAGAAACACTTACAGATATACTGTCCCATGCTAGCTCGAGAGTCGGCAGCGACGATAATCCCTCCCTGGAACTCAAACGCCAGCGTCGTGGTTCCGTGCGCTGGCTTCAGCAAATCCACGGCAGCTTTCTGGAATCCATCCAGCTGCGCAAAACGAAATCCCCAGACTCAGGTCATCACAAGAAATACTCGAGGAGCGACTTACATCGGCGACCTTCGGGAGAGGAAAGGAGCACTGCGGCTCCCAATGCGCTGCCGGATCCGAGTAGGAGTGCTGGCGCAGAGAAGCTGGTTCCAAACCGCTGAAATCGAGCGCCATCGCCCCTGCCCTAGCTCAAGAACCCTAAAAAGAAAGAGAAGAAATGTATCCCCCTGTCTACGTGGGCAAGGAGAAATTGCCCAGTGGAGATTTGAGGAATCACCTTCGCGTGGAGGAATGGAATGCCCTGATCGATGGTGCGGCCAGCCGATCGCAGCTGCGCAGCGTATGGGCACACGTCAAGAAGATCCAAGCCACGAATTTGCCGATGAGCGTCTATCTCTCGAATCTCCTCCTCCGAGCGTTTGGCCGCCGCGCAGGGATCAAGGATGCCCTCCTCGTTTTCGATGCCATGGTCGTCAAGAGCTGCTACTCGTGGATTCTTGTTCTCGCCGCGATCTCTCTCGATCGATGCAAGGGCATTGATCTAGATCTAGATCACGGCAAGAGATTCGCAAGCGAACACAGGGCGGCTGGAGGGCAGATTTCTTGGAACACAAAGCTCGCTGCGATCTCCCAGGGCGGGGATTTCTCCCTCGCGAAGAATTTCTTCCGCGCGATGCCTTGCCGGGACGACATTTCGTGGCACTCGATGGTCGCCGCCGCCGCGCACAGCGGCGATTTGGACGAGATAGCGCAGATCTTCGAAAGAATGCCGATGAGAGATTCCTTCTCGTGGAACGCGATGGTCGCAGCATTTGCCCAGGCCGGGCATTTGCACGACGTATCGCTAGTCTTCTCCCAAATGCCATGGCGGGAAGTTCTAGCGTGGAATTTGATCCTCGCGGTTCTCTTCCGGAAGGGCGAGTGGAGGAATGCGCTGCGCCACTATCGATTGATGGTGCTGGAGGGCGTGGAGCCGGACGAGCTTACGTTCGTGACGCTCTTGGTAGGATCGAGCTTTCTCGACTATGGTCATCTTATCTTCTCGTGGATGATCATGGATCATGGCATCCAACCAGTACGCCTCCACTACACTTCCATCGTCTATCTCCTGCGAAAGAACCATCGCCCAGCAGAGGCAAGGGTGTTCCGAGCTGGGATCTCGATTGAGGAAGACAACCTCTGGGCGAAATTCCTGGTAAGTTTCTCCAGCTTTGTGATCTTATTCATGTTCATGTTAATGAATGAATTGATATTTCTCTCGTGAAAGGTTCTAACTGGTGTGATCGTCACTGCTGTCCAGGCGCATAAAAACCGAGCTCCATCAGTATCGCGGCAATCTCCTCCGGATGTTGCTTTGGATCCCGGGCGGTGGAAGGAGAGACTTTTGCTTTGGAACTCGAGACATTCGTAGAGTTCCGCGATGACGATGCTGCTGCTGGAGAGGATTCGGCAACTTGGCCGTGATGGAGGAGCTCCAGCGTCTTCTGGAGTTCCTGGAGCTGGCTCGAGAACTCCCTCACCGTGAGACCGTATGGCTGGACCTTCTCGAGCTTGCGGAGCTTAAGGAGGACTCCGAGGACGGAGCTTTGGCCGGCCAAGGTGCTGGAGATGCCCGCTACTGCCTGTGGGATGATCGTTTCATTAGCAAGGAAGTGGAAAGTCTGCAAGTTTTGTCACCTTTTTAGCGTCGGCTCCTTGCAACTGCGAGAGACCGGCGACCGAGAGGCTGGATGCCAGGGGTGCTGTAACAGATGCCGCGAGCAGGAAGTTCGTGCTGGTGTTGTAAGCATCGAATGCCGGGTCGAGATCCTTTCCAAAAGCAGCGTTCATGATCTTGGTGAAGACTCCCTTGCCAGCGTCAATTTGAGGCTTTCCAGCGGCGTCCTTGAGCAATCCTTGCAAGACGCTGCCAAGAACAAGCCAGAGAAATAATCAAGAAGAACAGAACGAAAAAAGAATGGAGAAGTTGGAAGCACAGAGCCTACCTGATGTGCGACTTAAGCTGCGATTGGAACTTCGACGTCAACATCTTCACGGACGGATCCTTGAAGCGTGCAGCTCGAGAGTACTGATCGGACAAGAGCAACTCGGCGCTGAGAATCTCAGCAAGTATCCTCGCGTCTGTCATCTTCGTGCTTGCTGGTAGCTTACCGCAGTCGTCACAAGGAGGATACTCGCATTTCTCGCATGGAGGCGGCTCTGTTGGTGGCGAGCTGCAATCGTCGCAAGATGGTGGCGGATACTCGGAGCTCTCGTTGCAAGGAGATGGCGCCGGCGGTGGTGGCGTATGACAATCCTTGGGAGGAGGAGGAGGAGGATACTCCGGTGGTGTTGGCGTGTGACACTCGCAAGGAGGTGGAGGATACTCCGGTGGTGTTGGCGCATGGTAATCCTCGCAAGGCGGTGGTGGATACTCCTGCATTGGTGGGGGCTTACTATCGCAAGGTGGTGGCGATGGCGGTGGATAAGCTGGCGACGGTGGTGGTGGACAAACTGGTGACGTTGGTGGTGGATAAACTGGCGACGGTGTTGACGTTGGTGGCGACGCTGGTGGCGATGGAGGTGGCGGGCAAGAAGACGGTGACGATGGAGACGAGTAACCATCCGATGGTGGTGACGCTGGTGGTGGGTAAACTGGCGGCGATGGAGGCGGCGGGTAAGAAGACGGTGGCGATGGAGACGAGTAACCATCTGGTGGTGGTGACGCTGGTGGTGGATAAACTGGCGGTGATGGAGGCGGCGGGCAAGAAGACGGTGGCGATGGAGATGAGTAACCATCCAATGGTGGTGACGCTGGTGGTGGGTAAACTGGCGGCGATGGAGGCGGCGGGTAAGAAGACGGTGGCGATGGAGACGAGTAACCATCTCGTGGTGGTGACGCTGGTGGTGGATAAACTGGCGACGCTGGTGGCGATGGAGGCGGCGGGCAAGAAGTTCCATGCGGTGGCGATGGAGCCGAGTAACCATCCGGTGGCGGGGACGAGTAGACGTAAGTAACGGGAGGCGGTGGCGATGGATACTGCAGCACAATGTTCTTGATGGGGCGAGCTTCAAGCCGTGAGCACCACCATAGCTGGAGAACCAGCAAGATCATCCACCAAGTAGCCATTGAGCGATGGATCAGCGAAGAGCTGCGATCCAAACAAGCACAAAAGAAGAATTTATAGTCTCAAGGATTGCCAACGTACTTGTCATGCAGCTCGCGATGATCTACTCGGAGTTGTCACATTCCCAACTTAGGACACAATCTCCAGTCAAAGCCCAGTCAAGCGTCAACGGCCACTGGAAGTCAACTCCCCCATGGAAGAAGAAGAAGAAGCTGTGTTGTGCCGTGAATGATCGTCCATGGATGGATGAAACTATCGCCCCCAAGAACTCTTGATGGCTTCGTCCGGCTCCTAAGATCTTGCATCGAGGACCGCAATCTCGATCGAGGGCGGCTCGTCCACGACTGGATCCTTGCAAGCCACCAGCATCGCGAGAGCCTCCTCCTCGCGAACCAGCTGATTGGAATGTATTCCAAGTGTGGGAGCTTGCAAGACGCGATCGACGTCTTCAACCGCCTCCAAAGCCCCGATGTTGTGTCCTGGAACTCGCTGATGACGGCATTTGCCAGGAACCGGCAACCACACCGAGCGCTTGAGCTCTTCCGGGAGATGCCCCGCAAGGATTTGGTGTCCTGGAACATCGCCATCCAGGTGTTCTTGGAAGAATATAGGATCCAGGAGGCCGATCATGCGATGGATCTCGTGCCACAGCACAGCGCTGTCACATGGAACTCGATGATTTCCACATATGCCCAGAGGGGGCATTTGCAAGAGTGTTGGGATCTCTTCCATCACCCGGCGTTGGAGAGAGATCGGCTGTCCTGGAACACAATGCTGGTGGCGCTTTTGGCGTCCGGAGAAATCGAGAAGGCCAGCGGCGTCTTCTCGAGGATGCCAATGCGAGAGATCCTCTCCTGGAATGCGATGATCGCTGCTTACGGACGGATTGATGCCGGTGCTGCCAAGAACATCTTCGATCAGGCGCTGGAGAGGGATATCATCGCTTGGAACACGCTGCTCCGGGTGTGTGCTCGATTCGGCCTCCTTGACAGCGCTAGGGAGGCCATGGAAAAGATGCCCCTCTGGGACCCCGTCTCCTGCACGACGATCCTTGCGGCACACACGCAGAGGGGGGTTCTTGCCGACGCCAAGAAGATCTTCGATGCCGTGCCGAGAAATCTCTTCTCCTGGAATGCGATGCTCGCCTGCTACCTCCAGAATCGCGAGGTCGGGACCGCCATGGGGATTCTTGCCGAAATGCCGGAGAAGGATGTGATCACCTGGAACACGATGATCGCCGGCCTCGCGGCGAACGGGCACCTCGCCGACGCGAAGGCGATCTTCGAGTCCATGGCGAGCCGCGACGCGACGAGCTGGGGATCGATCGTGGCGGCGCTCGCGGAGGACGAATCGTCGATCGAGGAAGCCCTAGGGGCATACCGGCGGATGCCGCAGCACGACCTTTGTTCTTGGAACGCGCTCATCGCGAAGGATATTGCCGCCGCGAGGGGAATATTCGACGGCGCCAAAGAGAGAAACGTTGTGACGTGGACATCTCTGATCGTCGCCACCTGTCGGGTGGCGGACGGCATCGGTGGCGCCGAGGATATCCTTGAGAGAATGCCCGCCTGGGACGTTGTGTGCTTGAATGTGATGATCGGAGCTCACAGCCAGTGTGGGAATTTCGAGAGGGCGAAAGAGATCTTCGATGGATTGCCCGAGAGGAGCCTCCATTCCTGGAACGCGATGCTCCAGATCGCGACTGCCATGGAAGAGGAACAGGGCGATTGCTACTGCGAGGGAACGAGAGAGATTTTCTTCGATCGAATGCCTGCTAGAGATGTTGTGTCGTGGACGATCCTCCTCGCGGCATTTGCCCAGCAATCTCTCCTCGCGGAAGCAAAGAGGGCTTTCGATCTGGCGCCCCAGCGAAGCTTGATCACCTGGAATGTGATGCTCGGGATCTATGCATCTGCTAGCGCTATCGATCCAGCGAAAGAGATCTTCCAATCCATGCCGGAGAGAGACATCGTCTCGCAAAACTCCATCGTCGCAGCATTTGCCCTGGGCGGGCAAATCGATGAATCTCTCCAGTTCCTCGAGAGAATGCCGCAGCACAACGCCGGATCGTGGAACTCGCTGCTGCTGGGTTGCGCCCATCACGGCGTCCTCGACCGATCCAAGCAGTTCTTCGCCAGGGTCCCAAACAAGAACATCGTCTCCTGGAACGCGCTCCTGGATGCCTGCGCGCGAAACGGGCAGGGCGAGCTCGCGATCGAGATGCTGCGCGAGCTCTGCCTGGATGGATCATCGCTGCCGGATGGGATCTCCTTCACGCACGTCTTGGCCGCGTGCACACACATCGGATCTCTGGAGATTAGCCGGAGCTTCTTCGTGTCTCTCGCGCATGACTATGGATTGATCGCCGACAAAGAACACTGTTGCTCCATGGTGGACGTCCTCTGTCGATCCGGGCAGCTTGGATTCGCGGAGGAGCTCATAAACTCGGTGCCACTCCTTGGATCCGACAATGTCGCGCTGGGAAGCTTGCTCGCTGCTTGCCACACTCACCACGATCTGGAGCGAGCGTATAGGGCGCTTCCTCGCGATCACACGAGCTCGTCACACTACGTGATTCTTTCCAATATCTTGACAAGCATTTGAGAAAACCATTGTGTGTGTGCGTGTTCTTGGTCGATCCAAGTTCCAGCGCGCAATGCTTGCTCTATGATCGCTGGGCGATGGCTGCTACAAGCATTCAGGGAAGCTCTTGCCAGCGCCGGCGCGCCCAAGAGCATCGAAGGCCAGTACGCCAATCTCCTGCGCCAATGCCGAGATCTCGGCGAGGCAAAGCGTCTCCACTGCTTGATCCGAGAGCGCGGCCACGGATCCAGTACCTACGTCTCCAACATGATCGTCCAAATGTATGGCAAGTGTGGCAGCGTCGACGACGCATGGATCGTCTTCTCCTCGATCCAAGCTCGCAACGTTTTCTCCTGGAACATGATCATCGCAGCATTTGCCCAGAACGGGCATTCGGAGCGCTCAGTGACGCTTTTCTGGCGGATGATCCGCGAGGAGCCGGGCATTATCCCCACCAGGATCACATTCCTCCACGCACTAGAGAAGCTCAAGAACCTCGCGGAGGGGAGGAAGATCCATGAGCTTGCAATTACCGTGGGGCTAGAAAGCGATACAGCAGTGGGCACAGCAATCGTCACCATGTATGGGAAATCCGGGAGCCTCGCCGATGCCAAGCGCGTGTTTGATCGATTGAAGCGCAGGGATGTCGTGGCCTGGACAGCGCTCATCACTGCCTACACCCAGAACGGGCATTGCGAAGAGGCGCTGGATCTCTACAGCTCGATGGAACCGGATGGCGTGGCTCCAAATCAGTACACCTTCACGATTGTGATCGATGCGTGTGCGGAGCTGGGACGGCTGGACGAGGGCATCGCGATCCACGCAAGGATCACTGCCGCTGGGCTGGAATCCTGGATTGAGGTCGTGAATTCGCTGATCAATCTCTATGGGAACTGCAAGAGATTGAGTGAGGCTGAGAGGATCTTCCAGAGAATGCCCAGGAGGAGCTCTGTTTCGTGGAACTCTATGATCGCAGCGTATGCTCACAATGGGCACCCAGGAGATGCGATCGATCTCTACAAGAGAATGCGCGGCGATGGATCCGTGAAGCTCGATCCAGTGACATTCGTGAATGTTCTTGGTGCTTGTTATAGCCAGGAAGATCTGGCGGCTGGGCGATCGATCCATCACGACGCCATAGCTCGCGGGCTTGGATCTCATCTAGTGCTCGCCTCCGCGGCTGTGAGCATGTATGGGCGCTGTGGCAGCGTCGAGGAATCCATGGCGACGTTCGAGAGAATGGAGATCAAAGACGGTGTCGCGTGGAATGCTGTGATCGCAGCTCTTGCCCAGAACGGTGAATCGAGCAGCGCTCTCCATTTCTATCGCCGCATGCTCTGGAGCTCCAGCTCGAAACCCAACGAGGCGACGTTCATCAGTGTTCTTGAGGCATGCTCCATCGCCGACGAGGGGATCAAGATCCACCAGCACATCGTCGACAGTGGGATCGTCCACTCCACCATGATCTCCACCGCGATCTTCAACATGTATGCCGAGTGTGGCCGCCTCGATCGCGCGCGAGAGATTTTCTCCTCCATGAGGGCGTCTCGCGGATCGTTCCAGAGCGCCAACGATGTTTCTTGGATGAACATGATCTCGGCACTCGCCAGGCACGGATCGATCGACGAGGCGCTGGAGCTCTTCCGAGAGATGCGATTGGAGGGCGGCAAACCCAGCGAGATCGTTTTTATCAGCATCCTCCACGGGTGTAGCCACTCCGGGACGATGGAGCAGGGATTGGGGCATTTTCTCTCGATGATCCAAGATCATGGGCTTGCTCCGCGAGTGGAGCACTATGGGTGCTTGATCGATCTCCTTGGGCGAGGTGGGCATCTGGATCTGGCGCAGGACCTAGTGGATCAGATGCCGTTTGAGCCGGATGCCAGAGCGTGGTCTAATTTCTTGGGATCTTGCCGGCTGCATTCTGATCGCGATCGAGCCGAGGCCGCGGCGATCCGGGTGTTTGAGCTAGAGCCGGAGAAAGCCGCGATCTATGTGTCCTTGTCCGGGATGTGCTTCGCAGAGGAAGACGAAGAAGACCCCTAAATTTTTAGAGAAGGAAGAACCCTAAATTTTTAAAACCAAATTTAAATTCAAACTTTCAAACTTTCGCGGGAATACATAGAAAATCATCGTCTTCTCTAGCGGATCATCGTCCTCTCTAGCGCCTGTCCGTCTTTCCAGTAGATCTCTTCCCAGCAAACAAATGCTTGGGCCGGAGATTGACAATGGTTCGATCGGCTTCTCCCTTCCTCGCGAACTTGTTCCTCTTCTTCATCGCCTTCTTGCCCAGTGCCAATGCCTGCTGCTTCTGTGCCGAGTCCTTGAATCCCTCGCCTGGAACGACTTCCATCGACGCGCGAGACTGCGACCTCGTCCTGGACTTCATCCTCAACTTCTTGCTCTTTGGCTGCTCCACGTCCATAGCCTCCACCCCGGCCTCCTCGTCATACCCGAGTGATCGATCCCGCTTTCTTCCGCGAGATTTGCTTCGAGCTCTCGCCGCTGCTGCCGATGGATCGATCCCCAGGTTTGATAGGTGGCGCTCCATCCTGGAAACCGTGAATCTCTTGTCCTTGTCGTGCTTCCTGGGAACCATTGGACGGCTATCGGCAGTGGTCTTCTTCAGCCTGTGCTCCTCCCGGATGTTCCTTCTCGCGAGACGAATCGCCGCTAGCGCCTCCTGTTCCTCCGGACTGAGCTTGCGGAACTCGTCGTCGTCCATGTCCTCTTCCTCGCTCTCTCCCTCCTCCCGCTGGTGCTCCTCGCGATCCAGCTCGTCCAACCTCTTGAGAATGTCCGTGTCGATGAAGTCCGCGATGTTGTGACCGTCTGCTATCTCCGGCACCACGTCCTCCTTCCAGCTCTCGTCCGCGAGAATGTAGCGCCTTCTCAAGTTGGCGGAGTAAACTCCAGCGCCACCATTCTCGTTCTCCAGATCCTTCTCGAGTCGTCTCGGGGCCCTCGGCGCCGCCGCTGCTCGAGCTTCCAACACCCCAGCTGGAATCACCGGCGGCCTCTCTCTGGTGTCCCTGGGACGAGGCATCGCGACGTGGATCCTGTTCCTCACGTCCTCGAGCTTCTTTGACTTCATCTTCCCCTCCACACGGTGCTGGAGCAGCTTCTCGCACGCAGTGTTCTTCACGTTGATCACGCCTTCCTCCGTGAGGGTGCTCATCGTGAGAAGGCAGTCGTCGTCCTCGACCATCATCTCGCTGGCAATTCCCCCCGAGCACTTGGACGCCTCCTTCTTCATCTCCATGATCAGCTGGCGATCCTCCTCCGGCAGCGACTCCAGCGACTGGAGATCGATCTTGCTGCACACCACGAGCAGCGGCTTGTTGTCAAACAAAGGCCGGATGCTGTTGAAGAGCGCTGCCTGCTGGGCGATGGAGTAGCCACAAGAACCCGAGACGTCGACGAAGAACAGCACCGCAGCTCGGATGTGAGCCAGAGCAGTGATACTCAGCATCTCGATCGTGTTCCTGTCCTCGAGCGGGTGATCCAAGATCCCCGGAGTGTCAATCACTTGCCAGCGGAGGTACTTGTAGTCCGTGTGACCAACAAAGAGTGACTTTGTGGTGAAGGCGTAAGGCTGGACGTCAACGTCGGCTCGAGTGATCTTGTTGATGAAGGAGCTCTTACCAACGTTTGGATAGCCGCAGATGAGGATGGTTCTCGTGTTTGGATCGATCGATGGAAGCCTCGCCATATGCTGCCTGACCTGTTCCAAGTACGCTAGACTCGGCCCGACCCTCTTCATGAGCGTACACATTCTTCCCAGCGCGGCCTTCTTGAGCTGCTTGCAACGATAGAGCGAATCGCCATACTTGAGGAGCTTCACGTAGTCCTTGCAGATCTTCTCTACCAGTCGCTTCGCAGTGCGCAATTGCCCAAGCGCGAGCTTGTAGTGATCCCTGTCGTAGAGCACATTCATCAAATCCCCGTAGAAGGGATGGATGTCGTCCAGCTGCGGGAACTCGTCGATGATCGTGCCCAGCTTCTCATCGAATGTGGCCTGCGTGTACTTTACCTTGCGCATGTAGAACTGGCGGATGCGATTGATCGCATAGCTCTTGTGGATCACCGTCGGCGTCTGGCGCTGCGTCCGGGAGAGGACAATGTCGACGAAATCCTTGCCTGTCGGCACCACGGTGATGCGCTTGAGATTGTAGTGCACCATCGCGCCCGATCGATCGAGCGCCGCCGCGCTCCTGAAGAACCCTAAAAACTAAAACCCTGGCATTTTTGCCCACTTGCCCTAATTTCGGGGCCAGCGTGGACCGTCGGATTTGCGCGGCAACGATGAACACGTGGGATATTATCAATTCCAGGGTTTTCGTTGATCGAGCTTGGAGCGCCATAGCCAGGGCTTAGATCTAGCTAGAAGGCGATTCGATCGCCATGGATATCACGCAAATGGATGCCAGGACGCTGTCGCTGATGATGGCGGGGGGATGCGCGATGCTGGCGATGCATTTCACATTCAAGCTTGTGTCGGAGCATCTCTTCTACTGGAAGAACCCTAAGGAGCAGAAGGCGATCCTCATCATCGTCCTCATGGCGCCGCTCTATGCCATCGATTCTTTCTTCGGCCTTGTCCAGATCACAGGCAGCGAGGCGCTCTTCACGTTCTTGGATGCGATCAAGGAGTGCTACGAGGCACTGGTAAGTACTATCGATCCAAGAAAGATCTAAAGAATCCTCTGTCCAGGTGATCGCGAAATTCTTGAGCCTCATGTATAGCTACATGGGGATCTCGATGAGCAACAATGTGATTCCCGACGAGATCAAGGGCCGGAAAATTCACAATTCTTTTCCAATGACGCTGTTCTTGGTATGTTCGCGTTCTCTGGTGCTTTGGAGACTCTTGATAGTTTTTCTTTTCTTTCCTTCCTTAGCCTCACGAAGTTCCGCTCAACCAACACACTCTCAAGCTTCTCAAATCCTGGACATGGCAATTCGTGATCATTCGTCCGGTGCTATCCATCCTCATGATCTCGCTCCAACTTCTCGGCATGTACGAGGGGCCGATCACTTGGATCATCTCGCTCGTCCTCAACTCCTCGGTCACACTGGCAATGTATTCGCTCATCCAATTCTACCATCTCTTCGCCAAGGAGTTGGCTTCTCACAAGCCTCTCGCGAAGTTCCTGTGCATCAAGGGAGTGGTCTTTTTCTCCTTCTGGCAGGTAATCCATTTCTTCTCTCTCGCTCCCGCGGAGCAGATCTTACGTGTCTCCTTTTTCTCTCTCAGGGCATTGTTATGCAAATTCTCGCATCCGCAGGCATGATCCAGAAGCAAAAGAAACTCAACGTCAACCAGATCGAGGAAGCGTACCAAAACCTCTTGGTTTGCTTGGAAATGGTGGCATTCGCGGCGATCCAGCAGTACGCTTTCAGTGCCGAGGAGTACGCGGGAGAAGCTCAAGCCAAGCTCAAGGCAGCAGCAGCCGAAAAGAAAGACGATTGATCGAAAGAAGCTCTCACGAAGAACTTGCGAAGATCACGCGAAGAACACACGAGATATGCTACTTACGTGTAAGTTTGTATTTTCTTGCAGCTATTCATCGACGAAGACCACGCGAATCTAATTTGAATGGTAACGGGAATATACCCTCTTCACTCGAGGAAGAACCCTAATGGTCTCCTGGCAGTGAAGCAATGTCGTTGTCCCGCGTGTGATTGCGAAAGTGTCGAGAGCGGCATGGGATCGTGCTGCTACTGCGATCCTCCTCGTGCTGGGAATCGGCATCTCTTGATGCTGGAGAAGGCGAGGAGGCGGAGGTACTGTATCTTCTTCTTCTTCTTCTTCCTCTTCGTCTTAGGGTTCTTCCCCATTTCTTTCCCCTCGCAGCCATGGTGTTGTGGATATTTGGCTACGGATCTCTCATCTGGAAGGCCGGATTCAACTATGACGAGCGAGTCGTGGGATTCATCAAGGGGTACAGGCGCGTGTTCCATCAAGGCGAGCTTTGCATTGCGCGAGAATGCGCAAATTCCCGACAATGCCGCTAACCACTGGCATTGCAGGGAGCACGGATCATCGGGGGACGCCGGAGAATCCTGGAAGGACGGCCACTCTGGAAGCGCACGATGGAGGGATTTGTGTAAGATTGGATCCTCCTTGTTCTCTCTTTATTCGTTTTATCTTTGGTTCGTTGATAAACAGTCTTATGCATTGTGTGTTGTTTGATCAGTGGGGTGCTGCTTATCGTGTTTCCGGTCACGACAACGAGCAGCTAGTGCTCTCCGTGAGTGGTTTCTTTTTTCTTCCTTTGTTTTTGGCGCTCTGTTCTCAGTAGTGATTGGAAACTATCTCAGTACTTGGATTTGCGAGAGAAGCAGTACGACCGGAAGGTTTTTGTTGATCTTTACACGGTAAGCTAGACTTTGTTTCCACCGGGCTTTGGTTTTTATCTTTTCTTTTGTAGGAATCCTCTTCTGAGCCCGCGATCACTGATGTTCTTGTGTAAGCTCTCGTTTCCAATTGACGTGGTACTTGACAAAGAGCCTTGGTTGCAACAGATACATCGCATCTCCGGACAAGAAAAAGAATCCGAATTATTTGGGCCCCGCTGACATGGAGGACATGGCATTGTACGTTTTGCGATTTTCTTGTCTCGACCTGATTGATCTCTGTGATTTTTGTGGCAGGCAAATAGCGACTTGCGTCGGTCCGTCTGGTCCTAACTACGAGTACATTTTCAGGTTGGAAGAAGCTCTGCTGGAAATAGGTGAGCAAATATCAAATCAGAGACATTTTGTCAAATCGGGCATCTTTCGTGCACAGGTGCTCTGGATGACGAACTCGCCAAACTTTCTTGCGAAGTGCGCAAGACTCTACAGTCTGAGGACACAACGTACCCATTGTAAGCCCGTATAGGCGCATTCTTATTCATCTGTTTTGAGATGGATTAACCACCAGACACCAACGAAGTTGACTTGTTCTGTAGTCTTTTCTTTCTCATGGCTTCTACTTTGGACTGCTCCTCCCACAGGCCGACGCTCCCGTAGATATTTGTCATCAGCGCGTACACGGAGTCCTGCTCCTCATTCAGCTTCAACAGGTTCTCAAACGCTTCTTTGCCTATTCTCACATTCTTCCACTTTTGACAGGCACCGAGAATCGTCAGCCATGTCAAACTATCGGCCTTGAAAGGCATTGTTCTCGCAACGTCTACGGCAGCTTCCAGTTGGTTAGCCCGTCCAAAGAGGTCCACCATGCAAACGTAGTGTTCCATTCTGGGGGTGATACCATACTTGGATACCATCAACTGGAAGAGTCTCGAGCCTTCATCAACCTTCCCGGCGTGGCTACAGGCTGAAATGAGATAGACGAAGGTCACGCCGTTTGGCCGTAATCCTTCTTCCTGGAGTTTGTCAAAGAGATGGAGTTCCTGGTTGGTGTCGCCAAGTCGACTATAGCCGGCCATGAGAGAGTGCCAAGTTACCAGACTGGTGTCCGGGAGAGAATCAAAGACGAGGTGGGCGTTGGTTATGCTGCCACACCGTCCGTAGACTTCAACCAGACAGTTAACCAGGAACAGGTCGCCCTCGAATCCAGATCTCGAGATGCAAGCATGGATTTCTCGGACAGTCTCTACAGGCGCCAGGATCGCACAGGCCTTGAGTGCAGCCGCAAAGGCTCGGGGATCGGGTGCTTGAATTCGAACGAGAAGTTGCAAAGCCAGCTCGGGCCGGTTGTTTTCAGCACATGCCAGCATCAGGGAGGTCAGGGAAATCACGTCAACTTCTCCATTGTAAGAAATCCGCTCGAAGACTTTCCAGGCCTCCATCAGGCTCCCACATTTGGAGTACATGTTTACCAAGCTGCTGGCGACGAACTTCTCCGTATCACAGCCCGCGGCAACAGCTCTCGAGTGAACTTCGACACCTCGGCTAAGAGCCACGGGCTTGAGGACTTGTCCATCGACTCCTTTGACAGCAGCTTCCTTTTCGGCCAAGTTGCTACATGCCTTCAAAGCAGCAGCGTAAGTCAGAGCATCCGGTTTTTGACAGCCGTCGGCTTCCATGACTCGAAACAGGTCCAAAGCCAGCGCCTCCTCGTCATTCTCAGCATATCCGAGAATCACAGCATTCCAGGAGACTACAGTTCGGACTGGCATCTTGTGAAAGAAGACCATCGAAGCATCAGCCAGGCTCCCACATTTGAAGTACATGTCCACCAGCGTGTTACCGACGAAGGGGTCCGAATCAAAGCCAGTCTTTGCGGCGTGTGCGTGAATGAGCATACCTCTCTGGAGAGTCGTCGTCTTCACAGGTTTGCCTTCTAGCTGCTGCTGCTGCTTCGTCTCAACTACTTCCATAGATGCAAGGTCAGCACAGGCTTTGAGAGCGGCGACGTAAGTCAGTTGATTTGGTGCCCAGGTGACGTCTTCGGCAGCTAGCATCCGTTCGAACAGTTTCATAGCAAGCTCGGGCTCTCTGCTTTCAGCGTAGCTGAGGACCATGGCCGTCCAGATCGTCGGATCTCTCCTCGTCTTGGTCCTCTCGAAGAGCCTCCGAGCATCTACAACGCTTCCAAGTTTGGCATACAGATCGATCAACGAGCTCGCAACGTGGACATGCAAGTCAAGGCCACATCTCTCGGCTTGCCAGTGGATTTCTACGACTTTGTCGAACAGGAACTTGCTACTACCGGCGGAGTGTTTCCTCGTCAATCCCAGGCAGGCCTTGAGAGCGGCCGCAAAGCTCAGAGCATCTGCAGTGACGCCGGAGGCTTGCATCCTGGAAAAGATTTTCAAGGCCACCTCTTCTTCGCCATTGTCCGCATGTCCGAGCACGAGGGCAGTCCAGGAAACAACGTCGGGACAAGCCATTTCCTGGAAAACAGCTCGGGCATTCTCCAAGCTTCCACACTTGGAGTACATGTCCACCAGAGTATTGGCGACGAACTTGTCCGAGACGAAGCCGAGCTTGGCAGCTCGAGAGTGGACATCCATGCCTTTGCCGAGAGACTGGAGCTTCACCAATCTTCCATCGACAAGGCGACTGTGCTCCTTCTCGGCCAGACAGGCACAGGCTTTGAGAGCAGCGACGAAGACTCGGGCATCCAGGCAAGGAGCTGCGTCTCCTTGCGCTAGCAGGCACTCGAAGAGCTTGAGGCCGAGCTCTCCATCGCCTCGGTCGACATAGCCGAGGATGAGAGACGTCCAGGACGCAGCAGTCCGGAAGATCATCCGGCCAAACACTGCTCGAGCTTCTTCCAAGCTCCCGGATTTGGCATACATGCTCACGAGCGTGTTGGCTACATACTTGTTGGTGGAATCATCCCCGGCTTCTCGTGAGGCGTCGTCGTGGATCTTCGTGCCGGTTTGGAGATCGCCCAAGAGACCGCATGCTTGAAGCGCGGCGACCACTAAGGAAATGCGTACCTTCTTTGGGTGCTTGGCGAAGAACTTGGGATTGCCGTGGAAGACCCACTCAGCCCGCGTCTGTAGCTTGGACAAGCGCTTACAAGTCATTCATATCTTTATTATGTTAAAACCTTATAGCAATGGCAATGGTAAATCAATGAAAGGAGCTGGGCCTGGTGCTACTGTTGGTGGTGCTGGTGGCGTTGGTGCTAGTGGTGTGGTTGTGTTGGTGAAAGTGCCTGGTGGTGGTGGTGGTAAAAGTGAAGGTGTGTCAGTGAAAGTGAAGGTGATAGTGGTGTAACTGGTGGACGAAGTGTTTTTGGAGGTGGTGGCGGTGTGTAGGTGAAAGTGAAGGTGCAAATAGTGGTGGTGGCGGTGTGGGTGAAAGTGAAGGTGATAGTGGTGCTGGTGCTGGTGTAACTGGTGGGGTGGTGGCGGTGGTGTTTTTGGTGGTGGTGTAGGTGAAAGTGAAGGTGCCAATTGTGGTGGCGCTTCAAGTAGTGGTGTTAGTGGTGGTGGTGTTTTTGGCAGAGGCAATGGCAGTGTTCTTGGTGGTGGTGGTGGTGGTGTGTTGGTGGTGGTGAACAATCACTTTTTGGAGTAAAATAATAATGTTCAGAAGTGTACCTGTTGTTTCCATTGTTGGAGTGGCCACTGGACCCTCATTCATGTTTGTTAAGAAGGTACAGTCCCAGGGTAATAGGGCCTTCTACTCCCATCCACACTCATTCTGCATCTTTATTAATTCCAAGATATCAAAGAACCCTCTACTATTTGTAAATGATGAATCACTGTCTTGCGGACAAACAAGATTTAGCTTGGGACCTAAAAGGATCAGGATGAGATAATTTTTTCTTACCCAAAAAGACCCATTATGAGAGAATGAACCACAACTGGTACAATAAACATAGCTTTCCACTTTGATCAGTGTAGTGGCATCACAAAAATTCTGAATAGAATTAAGTAGAAAATCTTCATACTTACATGATAATAATGAGGTAAAAGATTGTCCTTATATAATAAATATCTTGCACTGCATTTAGTCAAACATTAAGGTAAAACTAAAAAGTTTCTAGTTGAATAACATTTTTTTTAAAACCCAGTGATCTTCTAAATATTTTGTTTCATTTTTTATATATTGTCCTAATTTATTTCCAACATAAAAAATTTACTTTTGTTATTTTTATTTTACTTCCATCATGCCTATAATTTGTAGTTTGATATTTCAGTGTTAATATTATAACTGAGCCTTTAACC